CTTTAATCAAATTCATACTGCCCTGCAGGGATTAGCTGAGGTGCCACAACTACAAAAACATTTTTACACCAGTAAACATGGCTTGAAGAGCAGATGTAAAAAATCCTGCTGATTGTCGTGCATTTAGGCCCTCATTCATAAGAGCGATTGCTACTGTGCTGGTGTGGGACCAAAAGCTTTTGCTCTGCCCAAACTGAATTGTCATGCTGTTGAATTTATGCATGTCCTGCTGCTCCTCAGAAACGCTTGTCTGAACGTGCAGGCAGGGGGAGAGGCATTCTCTGTGGAAAATGCTTGTCTTCTCTTCAAGTCAAAAGGTCTGACTGGTATTTCAGTCCCTGTTCAGTGGTAATTTGTTGCCCCTATTTGCTTTATCTGTGGGAGGGCGAGGGGGGTGGTAGCATTCAGCAGAAAAGATTGTAGAACTAATTTTTACTCAGGAAGACTATGAGGAACATGTTAATACAAATGGAATAGAGGGATAAAAGCAAAGAAAATAAAACCAAAGCTTCACCAAGATAAATGCAACATCCTTCCTTACCCTTAGGAAATGAAATTATTCTGACAGGGTCGGGAGGATTCTGCTTGGCAAACCATCTTAAATTAATTACCTTCTTGACATTTTAAAGGAAGGTTTCAGATTGTAAATTTAACCCAGACAAAGCATTCTTTTTAATCTTGTCAGTATGCAAACTACTTGCCACTGCAGTCCCTGAATTATTTATCAGAGAAACGACCCCAAAGGGTAAAAAGCAAAATCATGAGTATTTGATCTACAATTCCACAGCCTGATGTCATTTTCAGCCTTAGGTATGTACCTGTTGCAATGGCTTAATTTTTTTTTCTTTAAACAGACATGCCAGGTCTTTCATCCTTGCAATTTTTTCTCAGAATTCCACTTGTGTTGCTTTGTGGAGGTTTAACTTACATTAATGCAGATTTCTCAAACAGATATGACCAAATATACTGGGGGTCATTTTTGATCTTGATGCAGTTGTATATCTGATCTAAATCTGGGCGTATGCATTTTGTTTGTCTTATTTTTGCCTTGAAACATGGTGAAGACGTTCTAAATTAACACATCCAGGTACAAAGGAAGTGTTACCATTTTTCACCTATTACGTAGCCTCTAAGACCAGATGGCTTGTAATTACTAAAAGGAAATTGGGAATCAGGAAAAAAGAAAACTGAGTTCAAATTCCAAAACATTCATAGATTATTTCTTTGGGGTTATGATATTTCCCACATCAGTGTCATAATAGTTCTTTTCTAGCAAGCTACCTGCTAAGATTTACAAGGTTACACAAATACAAATGCAGGTTATATTAGTCTTCTTCCTATATTTTAAGCCCAAGGCTCAGAACATTAAATAATTTTTTGGAAATATTTATTTATGTTTGCTTAAAAAGTCTGGGATGTACACATGCAAAAAATCCCTGTCCATATTCAGTATGAACTCATGTATTCATTTAAAAGAGTTCTAGACTGCTGTTAAAGACCGAAGTCTAGCTAATGCAGCTAAGCAACAGCATTTTTTTCAATACACCAGCAAAAATTGGTAAAATCCACAAATCCAAACAAAGAGACAACTCTAGAATATGAAACACAATGCATCTGAAACTAAAAGGAGTCCAATAATTTTTTTTAAAAAAAGCCAAAAGCTTGGGGATTTCCAAAGTATTTACCATGATGGAATCTGAGCTGTGTTTGTGCAAATATAAAGGTTATTATTGTTATTTGGAGCCATGGTTGGCATTCTGTTCATGACCACAGAGTACCTTTTCCCTGCTCACCAAAGTTCAGAAGTTGGTATTTCATAATTCCTTCTTCCCCAGTGTCCTTCTCTTTTTGACCAAAACAAAAAAAAATCTGTTCTAGAGTAATGTGAGTTCTGTAGAACAACCTGAGCAATAGTACAGAGGTTGAAGGGGGGAGAAAAAAAGAGGTGTAAATTGTTTTTTCTAATTCCATGAGTGAATCTTCTTAAGGATAGGCACATCTTGTGAACATAAAATTTAGATCATTTACAGAAAGTCTTTACTAGATTCAACCAATCTCTATCGTTGAGCTCTTTTTTTTTAACGTATAACAAGTATAACTTATGGTCTTTAGTCTGACCTTAGCCCTGATTAAACATATTCATGGGATATAAGAATTAATGGAATTCTTTTGATCCAGAGAAACCTTTCCACTGCATTTCAAGGTCAAGTTTGTAGTATAAATACATCAATCAGAATTATACTACTTTATGCTGCCATTTCTCTTGAAATCTTTGGTGAACATCGAAACGACCTTTTTTTAAAAAAAATTGATTTATTATATTACTATAAGACATACATGTCACATTATATTATTTCAATACAGTGTATCTATACAGTATTGACTAGAGATTATTAACACTCTGACAATTAAACCTCTAAAGGTAGAAAAAAAAAGAAAAGGTATATCAGTGTTAACTATGATTTGAAATGTCGATATTTATAAACATAAAACTGTTTAAATTTTTACATCTAAAGCTGAATATGACGTTAATAAACGGCTGAAAATTACATCAAAATATTTGTTTTACAATAAAGGTTTCTGTCTTAAGCTGAATACTGAATACTAAGGTCTCCACTCCATTTACTTATTATTGGTTGTGCATGTTGAGAAAAAGATATTACATAGACAAAGCAAAATAGGATCCAAACAATCTTTGAGATGATAGATATAGATATAAAGACATATACACATTTCTTTTTGTGATGAATCCAGTGGTTTGAGCTGGGGAGGAGGCAGGGGAAGTTCCTTTGACAGCACATATCACACTTTCACAGTTCCCTGTTTGGATTCTTCTTTTCTCATTTTACCTGTTTTTATGGCTTTTAGTTCTGTAACATCTGTGTTGACTTAGAAACTTATAGCTATGGTAATTAGTAGCAGGTGGCTAAAAACCTGCAAACAATTTATCTGCTTTTTAGAAGTGTTCCTATTAAGTGGACCTTTCTCCCTCTCTGTCTGACTTTAAATTACAAGTAATTTGTCCCTGCTATGCTGTATTTATTATCACATAAGGCTGGCCTGAAGATTCAATTAGCATAGGTATTCAAGCCACTGTAGGTTAGAGGGAAATAGCTGCAACTACAATAGCCATTATGTCTTTCATTCTGCTCAAAGAATTACAGTTTCTGGTATCACTTCTCAATCAGTTAGCAGCCAATAAGGTTTTTGCACCTTAAATAGGGTAGTCCTAAGACCCATCTTATGGTGCTCACACCCTGTTCAGTTATTTTTACAAACCTTGAAAAATTATTTCAATTTTAAAAAAAAATAGAAAGCTGTGAAGTGCTTGCAAAGTGCCTGTCTTCAGCTCTGCCTTAATATTCAAGAATACTCAAATGGACCTCATAACCTTGAATGGCTGGTTATAGCCCAGTGCTTTCTTTGGTAGATGTGCTCACCTACTCAGGAATAAAGCAGGGATTAGCATGAGTGGCAGAGAGAAGACTGCAGGAGCATCCTAGTATTGCATTTACTCCAAAGGAAGACAGTGTTGCACTTAAGGCAATCCCTTCAACAAAGAAATATTAGACAGAAAAAGAATTATAAATGTTCAAAAACCCAGTGGAATGTCCAGCTTCCCCATATGGTCAACCTAGGGTTGCCATCTTAACCTGAAACTGTAAGATTGACTTAGACAATCAGTGGGCAGAGCAGTAAATGTCTGTATATAATGAATCATATATAGCCATGCATTTATGAAAGGACATAAATATATTGACTAGAAATCACAATGCAATAAATATTAACTGAATAACTGTTTAAAATTAATTGCCTGTAATTAATTGATTCCCCATCTGTATGGCGCTCATCAAACCACTTTTTCTCTTGCATGGAGAATCACATAAGTGTATACACATTGGACTTTAGAAGTGAGACTTTTTTTTTTTCCTCCCAAGATTTACGTTTGTTCCTTGAAATTTGCTATGGATTTTTTGATAGAGGTAGAAAGTGTTTTCTTCCACTCTTCCTGTTCAGCCCTGCCCAGTAGGCAGGTACAGACAAATCACTTTGGCAGACATCTAGTTAATTATTTGCAAGTTGAAATTAGGTTAGAACTATATGAAATTAGATCAAAGGATACAGATTGCCCAGTCTGATCCAGATGTTGGTTGTTGTACTGTAAGTACATTTTTATGAATATACTTACAGTAAATAATTAATTCTGTAACAAAAATATCAACACTTTTATAAGCAATGCTATGGTAATATATCAGATTCAATTTCCAAAGCAGATATTGCAGTTTCTCTGGTATGGACAAATAGCCCAGACCTTCCTGTGTCCAGTTTGAGTTGAATTCAGGATATATACAGGTGGCTAGAGACCCATTCATGCATGACATCTTGCACAAGCTGAGATAGCTCAAGGACTGCAAAGAGCGAGAAGGAATCTATGAAACTTTCCCACCACCATTGCAATACGTTTGGAGAAACAGCAGAAATGGAAATGTAGAATTGATAAGGACTTTCAAATCCCTAGTTAATCTCACACCTTTGCTGAAAGAGCTCCTCTGACTCAAACAAACCTGAGTTACCGGGAAGGGCTATATATATAGGAGTTGAGGTATTTAAGCTTTTCTCCTCTGGTTACAAAAATTAGTCTCACTCCACCCTAACATGCAATGCTACTATTTGCATTAGGGAAAAACTAATGCTAGTTCAAAGTGTAAATTCCCACTAAGTGCAAATAACATCATTGATAGTGTTGTTGGGAATTGGAATTTTCATTGGATTGATATAGAATGATTAAATATGGCTCAATCTTGTTTCTTCTATTTTTAAGTGTATGTTGAATCAATAAAACACTTAATTCACTTCAGCCCCATTGAAAAGATGGAAAGAAAGCTTGTCAGATTTTCTGCTTGCATAGCAGTATAAATAATATGAGAGGTATTGTTTTCTTTCATTTCTCAACCTTATACCACTATGCTATGTTTCTATTGCTCTGTGTATTGTCCCAGGGTCTTTCAAGAGAAGATGATGATGACAACAATGACAATGATGTAATATAATGGACATCATAGAAGCCATCAAAACTTCTAAAACTGTGTTCCTTTTGGTGTATTCAGGAGCAATCACCTGGAGTCACTGTTTGTGAGTTGGGCAGCCATATAAATTTTCTAAATAAATAAATAAATAAATAAATGAATCACCTTATCTGTCACAGAATGGCCATCATAAGT